AAAAAAAAAAAAAAAATTAATTTCAGAGATACAAGTGTTATGCATTTGAAAGAATTTTTCAAAGTAATATAGGATTTTATGAGTCTGTGTTTGTCAATTGAAACATATGTAAAAATGCAGCGTAAAATTGTGTCTGTATAATGTGTTCATCATTTAGCATTATTGAAAAATGACAGTTGGGTAGTAGATTAGAGGAGGAGAAGAATAATATTATTTCGGTCAACAAAATACATGGTTCAAAAATTGGGTACATACTGTTTTGTTCATTTATTATTCATTTATTTATTTGCTTTTTTTTTTTCTTGTAGATTTTTATTGTTTGCAAGACTGCTGTTTTTCTGTTGAATGGTTGGACAATATTCAAAACATGGCGTGGTGGATCTGCCTCAACAACAAACACAACTCGACCTACCTTTACAAATACCGGCGTTGCGAATCCTCAGTTCCCAGGTAATGCAACAGTCGGAGTTGGAGGTGGAGCATTTCCTGGAGCAGCAACAACGTATCCATCAGCATACCCACCTGGTGCAACATTTCCGGCGTCAACCACAGCACCGACAGCAGCAGGTGGAACCGGTGTTTCTCCGATATACGATAATGCTTAAATGGCATTGTTTTGAATTTGCTTCATTTCATACAAATATGTATGCGCTAGTAGTTCAGAACGTCAGTTACATTTCGCTCCCGATTGTTCAATGAGGAAATTCTGTTACAGGCTGTAGAAAAAAAAAAAAAAAAAAAAGGAAAAAAAATTGTTGTCATCTTCTTTTTTTTCCCAATTACAGATCTCTTTTGATATATTCTTCTTTTTATATTTTCACCAAGTTTCACCTACCAGTTTCTGTTACCTTCATCTGACGTCATCACCGTTATAATTTTTTTCACGTGCCTCTTTCTACATAGCTACTTTTACTTAACTATGTCAGACATGCAAGTAATCATTTATCACGTTAATTCTATTCATATTTGAATATATTTTTCGTAAGAACACACCTAAATGTGCCTTTAATCGCCGTTTGCTTCTGAACATTTTGTGTCTTGACCATTTTTTTTTGTAAATTTTGACGCAAAAAAACCAAAAAAAAAAGATTAATAGGTGTTTATCTTTAGCAGATATCAACAGTTCATCTGTTTACGTTCTGTAACGTTCTTACCAAAATTCACTGTCACTAAGCTAAATTTTATTGTTCTTTTTTTTTTCAGCAGAATTTTATAAAAATTTGATAAGCTAACAAAACAGGTTGTAGTTGTATATATTAAAAGGAAAAATTTATATGGCTTTAACATTAACATGACTTAAACTGCTAGAAACAAACATTTTTTATGTTTGACTTTTGATGGAAATAATGTTTGGTCTATCAGACAGATTCACTCCTTTTCCAATAAACAAAAAAAAAAAAACTATTTTGATTTATGTGAAAACTAAAATCCAATACAGATGGTACGTTTGCTAATGACAATTCGGATTGGCAAACTAAGTGATTATAAGCTGAATACCAAGAAAATTATTTTCCTGCCAGTTTCAACACAAATCAACGTTCAAAATAACACCACCAATTTCACATTAAAGTGGCAATTCGTCTTCCTGAACGCCACAAAGAAGTTATACTGTCCCAGGAAAACATTAAAAAACTACAATGAAAAAAAAATTAAGACCGGAAAGTATCCAAGTGTTTATTGTTTTTTATTTTTATTTTTTGCAAAGTTTTGTGAATATTTCATTTCAATCATCATCTTTGTATCTGTTCACCGTGTGAATTGATTTATCACAACGTATTACAATTGTTACAATCAGAAGCACCAAAAATAGAGGTTAAAAATTAGATCCATGCGCAGGTCAACTTTTACCGTATGTTGTCCAGTCAATCTTTTCCAGTCTTTCCAACAACAGCAGCAGCAACAACAACCACCTGAAATCTTCCTCGTAGTTTTGATCATATTTTGTGCCTCAGAACCCAAATAAACACCAAAAAAAGAAAACAGTAAAAAAAGAATGGGAAGGAACACAGTAAGAATATATTTACCAATGTATAAATAATGTTACATTCTCAATGATTTAATTCATCTTTTTCAAAATGTTACTGAAATTACAAAAGATTACGAAGAAACAACGCAGCAAAAAAAGAAACATTTAGTAGCGGTATATCTTTCATTCGTAAGAAATTTTTTTTTAAAAATACCAGGCTGTTTACCCAACTTCAATTATGTATTTTTAAAATGTATTTCTCACTTCTCCGAGCAGATGAAAAATTGAATTAGAAACAGTATAAGGAGGTAGAAGAGGCAAAAAGTAAAGTATATCATACAAAATCTGGTCAAAGGTTTGTTTTTAAAACTTTTGAAAAAAGGAGAAAAAAAGGAAATCTTAGCTTTCCAAATACAGCGTATATAAATCAAGGATGACGAAAAGTGCGCAGTTTTCAGAACAACGGACTAGCTGCATAAAAAAGATAACAGAATTGATAATGAAACGGTTTTACATGAAATGATCATAACAACTACAAAATACTTCTCAACTAGCCATTATTTTTAAAAAACTGCAGTGTTATAAACACTTTTTTTATATTAGAAATATTTTTTTGTATTAAGAAGCACAAAAGAATTTACTTCTTGAGCACTAAATTTCCACACCAAAACCAATGAATTTCTCGACAAAAGCCTATATTTGTTATCATAAGCGTCATAATATCTCGATCACAACAAAAACTTCTTTTTGCTTCATTTCTTTTCCACCAAAAAAGTATATAAACAGTAACAAAGAGATATATTTAATAACAGCGATGATAAAGTATATAGTAGTATTTATAATAGATAATAGGCAGTCGCAAAGCAAACTACCATTGTCTATGCAAACTCGATAAAAAGGTCTCGAGAATAGGTCATCGTTTTTATCAAGAAAAAAATCATCAAACCTCTAATCAGCTGTACTAATTCTTGAATTCTTATATTTTCCACAAAACAGAAACGTAACTAAGTTACATCAGTAGAAAGTTTTTGCTTTAAACATTTTACCTCAATATTTTACTTTAAAATTTTTTTAACATCTAATATTATAAGATTATAATCAATTAAATAATTTAAGCCGGCAGCCCATAATGTCCACTCCATTTTACTACAAAGTACAAAATTTAATTTTCTATTTTTTTCTAAAAAAAACAAAGTTTTCTACTATCTAAAGAGATCTAAAAATTAATAGGTTTCTGATGATTACATGAAACAGCAAACAGAATTTGACGAACGTCGTTCAAAGTGGCACAAACACAAATGATAATTCTACACAAATGCTATTGGATCGAAGAAGTTAACCGTGCTAAGGGGAATGTGCTAATAATATTTTAACCAACATCGCCGTTATAGTTATTGACACACCCAGTGCAACGACCAGATGAACAAAAAATATGAACAGCCGGGCGGTAGCAAACTGAAACGTGTCAAGTTATAAAGTAGGTTTTTTTTAATGCTTGATCTTCCAAATTTCTAATTCTTTTTCTCTGTTACTAATGTTAATCAAACAAAGAAAAGTAAAAAGCAAACAGTTTTTTGTCATGCCAAGAAACTGAAATTTAAGTAAACTTAAGATATACACGTACTGTAGGCCTAGCGATTGGCGACTCCACGCTTGGACCGTTGATAACACTAAGGGCCATCCCCGTCGGCCCTGCAACAAATCGATATGACGCTGAAAACATTTAATCAACGCTGTCTTCAAAACAACTTCACCAGCAAACGGTTCAAAAAGCACACAAACATGCTGTAAATATATATGCCATTTTTTTAATCGTTAATAGCACACTATTATGTCGTCTGCGAAAATTGGAATCAAATCAGAGACCTTTTTAATGGTATATACATATAAAGATTGTCTCCCCATCCCTTACCTCCTCGTTTTTTCTTTGGATGGATAATTTTTTGCTTTAAAAAGTCTTGTCCTGTATTCCTTTTTCCAAAATCATCTCCCGCAGGGAATTACCTAAGGTGCCACTTTGAGGTAAGATAGCCGAATGACAATGTTACTGGCTTTGTTATCTTCAGCTTAGGAAAGAGGCTACTGGTGGAAACCCCAATAAGGTTCCTTATAGTCTCTAGTGAGGGATATCTGATGGGTTTGAAGCAGTCGCATTTTTAAGCATGTATATTCCCTTTTTTCTTCGTACGTCCCACGTACTCTTATTTACCTTCTGGAAATTACTTTTTCACTCTCGATTTTCATACTTTTATCCTTTATGTGTCTCTATCTTAATTTATTAATTTTCACAAAAGGCCAATTTAAGTGTTCCGTTAGTATAATGAAGATATTTATATAGTGAATTTGAACTTATCAAAATCGGAATAGAAACTGCATATTCCGGTTTCTAATATAGTTGAGCCAAAATGTTTAGATACCAAAGATACCTAAAGACGTAAGCAAAAAAAAAAATATTTTGCAGTAAATTCCACAAATTGCAATGATTCCTGTTGATTTTATACTGAAAATGGTACTTTAACAGAAGTTCTTAGTCTGAACAGTGTTACGCACACAGCAGAAATCGCCAATGTGATCAATCACAAAATATTATGCATCTAAAGGTTAAATTTACAGTAAATGTTGTATGTTCAAAATAAGTGGTGTTCGCAAGAAAGAGGAATTGTAAGCCAATTGAGCACAGAAGTAACTAGAATAAGAACTCGGATAGCCAAAGAAAAAAATAGATTCTTTTACTAGTAAAAATTTATAAACTTTCCTTTTATTAGATTTATCGTAAAATTCTGTAACAGGCAGAAAAACACAAAGACTTTTTGGT